CAGGGTGACCCCCCCTCCACCCTGCCCCCACAGCTGGTGTTTGCACAGTGGGTGGGGGGAAGTCCATTTCCCACCCCTACCCATCCCCCCATGGCTGACTGGTGGGGGGCTGGTGAGAGGGTGGGGCTCGGGCATTCGCAGCCCAGTGGAGCTGTGCTGGAGGTGGGGAACAGCCCCCATCTCAAGGGCCTTCCCCCCACTTCCCCACTGTGGGCTGGGGTGGGGGCCCATTCCCCCCTTGCCCACCCCTCTGCTGCTGCTGGTGGAGCTGGGGCAGCTGCCTCAGCTCTATGAGAGCCGGGGTAGGGCTGCCAGACTGCTGGAGCAAATATGCTGTGGCGAAGGCTAGCCTGCAGGATCTGTAAGGGGAGGTGTTAGTGGGGGGCTGCAATGCATCCTGGGATGCCAGAGGACTGAGACCTACCTTTGGTCAGGAGGGGATCTGGAACAGAAGTTCAAAAGACTGTTTGAACTTAAATCAGTTAAGTCTGATACTACATCCGTCCAGGTCTATCTTAAGCTGGTTTGGCCATTTTGAAACCAGTCTATGTGAACTAAACTTCTGTTACAGGTTTAAACCAGCTTCCAATCACTCCTACTGGTTTATATGTAGTGTCTGTCCCTAGCCTAGGAGTCTAATTGTAGTCATGACTGAACAGGAGGAAAAGAGCATGCCTGGAAAATGTTTCTATTTAAAGGCAAATGGAAAGATTTTTTTTAAATGAATAAGCCCAACAGTTGTTTAAGATCCTAAATCTGTAGCAGAGGACATGGGTGATATAATACATTCCAAAGGAATATATTTTCAACCAGACCATTTGTAAATTACTTAATTTTTTTATTTCTTGCCGGAACCTGAGTCAGGTCCTGTCTTTTTTGTAAAAAAGCCTCACATGAACTCAGGTCTTAGCAGGTAAACTAAAGCTATTAAACCATTTAGTTTAGTTTTCTATATTTTTATTCATAAATGTAAGGCATATATATATGCTTAAGGACATAAGAGTAAATTTTATACCATTTGAATCATAACCTACTATTTTTTAATATAGAACCCTCCACAAGCTTCTTTGGTAGTTTAACAATATTTTGTATTTATTCTTAAACAGATCAATTCCCTCACTAACTATGAGTTTTTCAGATTTTGTTCTAGATATAATCAGGAACAATTTTTTTAAGTCTCTCATTACTGCTTTGCCTCTAGAATATAGTTTTTACTTCTGAGGAACTTGTTTTGATACTTATAGAACATCATATTACATCAACAACCAAGAGGGTTAACTGGGTTGCTTTGTGCCTGGGTGCTGGTGATATGGCTAGCCAGCGGCAGCAGTGGCTGTTATTTTTCTGCACTCCCTTCACCCCAAAGTTGGCACCTGGAGCTGTTGTCTTGGTTGCCCTGCTTTAGTTACATTACTGGAACTACCTACGTTAAAAGCATGTTAAAGTTGCAAAATTAAGTGCACACATGTTAGAAAATACCACATTTATGGTTGCCTCTGACTTATGTGAATATTTTTTGATATAGTCTTCAATGACATTATCACAGCCTACTTAGTGCATAGGCTGGGTTGTACTAAGGGACTGAAGCAACTGTTCAGAATCATTATCCTAATTTAGTTCGTGGCTTTTATCTTAATTATTACACACCACCCAAAGCCTACATCAAATACAGCTATCTTAAATTTCCTTGGGGCTTTTCTAGGGCACTTCCCACTGTAGCATCTGGGTGCCTCACAAACATTAATGAATTTGTCTTCATATGTGCAGCTATTAGTATTACCATTTTTAAAGATGGGGACACTGAGACAGAGGCTTAGCAAATGAATCAGGGGCAAAGCCACATTAGAAATCAGGACCTTGAGCCTTCAACTTTCCTCTCATTTCTTCATATGGCAGAGTCCTCTTGCCAGCAGTGCTGAACATCCACAGCTGCCATTGATGGTAGTTGCTGTTGCTATGGGTGCTCAGGACTTCAGCAGATCAGACCATACAGAAAATGAAGCAGGCAGTTAGCAGATTCCTGACAAAATGCAGACTTTAGGGCTGGTAGCGTACATAGGAACCCTGCAACAAAGTCAGGGTTAGAAGAAAGCCTAGTGAGCAGTCTTCTGCCTTAACCAGATGGCTATTCCAGGCCTTACTCTCTAGTCTAGACACTTTACCATTTTTAGAGTAAACAAACAGCGTTATGCACTGTAGCATTTCCTAACCTCTAAAGGTGACTTTGTAACTTAACATTCTTTAACAGGGTTTATTTTAAATCGCAATTTATTTTAAAGGAAAGGAAGTTAACAACATTTTGTTATGTAGACCTGAAACATCCCTTTACCGTGGAGCACATCATTGGTATGGTTGAGCTCTGATCTTTCAGCATTGCCACCCAGCATTATATTGCAGCATCTTACTACAGGACTAAAAATATTAATTGATAGCTAGAGCAGTGGGGAAGCAACCTTTTTGGCAGGCATGCCACAAATTAAGCCCCACATCTCCCTGCATGCCACTCTGATTCCCGTCCCTTGCTATGATGACTGCTCCCTTCCCTCTCTGCCACTGTGCTGCTTGCTCTCTTCCCAATCTGCCACATGCAGAGGCTGTCTGTGCCGCCTGTGGCCTGTGTGCCCCAGACTGGCCACTCCTGACCTAAAGTATGCTTTTGTCCTCCTGGCCTGGTGTGGATGAATGTGTGTGGAAGTCAGGTGTTGGGTCCAGACCCAAGCTCGTATTTCATCATATCCTTTTTGGAGCTGGAGGAGTGCTTGTTTCTAATATTGCAGTCCCAGAAAAAAAGACAGGTTCAAAGGAAGGACTGTTGGAGAGAAGCTTGGGCCTTTGTCCCCCCACTCCAGAGAGGTTAGCTGCTCCCTGGACTCCCAGCATAGGCTGCTACTAGCTGCTTGGGCAGTTGTGTGGGCCTGACCTTAGATTAGAACAGGGGCGGGCAATTATTTCAGGGGGAGGGATGCTTACTGAATTTTGGCAAGCCATCGAGGGCTGCATGACAGGCAGCCAGGGGCAGATAAATATTCATTTTCTAAATGTTTTAGTGGCTCTGCGGGTTGGATAGAATGGCCTAGTGGGCTGCATTCAGCCCACGGGCTGCATTTTGCCCACCCCTGGATTAGAAGACTCATGTTCAGTTATTTTGGCAGGTGGCCACCATTTCCAGGAGTTGCACAGAGCAGAGAAGGGAAAAAGGTTTGCCTTTCCAAAGGCAACCTGAATAGAATTTAATTGGAGAATTCAAGTCCCTGGCCAGATTTCAAAGGCTTATTGTAAACAATGGAGGTATTAAAGCTCAAAAAAAGGTCACGGGAATTCTTTAAAATTAAAAAGCATTAGGCAAGCTAACTATAGGGGTTGTTACCAATTTTCCCTCTAACAACAAAAATATTTATATTAGATAACAACTAATTTTGTTTAAACCAGATAGCAAAAGTGCAAGAATGGCTTCTGTTATCCTACAAAAAGAAGAATATAACCACCCAGGAGAATCTACAGCTACTAATGGCATTCGGCTCCTTTCAGGTGAGTAATACAAAAGCAAACTACTAAAATAAATTCTGACACATGGAGAGGCCCTGACAGACCCTGTAAGTAATCCTGTCTGGTTCTATGCATGTTTACAATTAGTTATTGTACCGTGCCCAATTTCATTTCCACTCCAATATAGCAGCTCAGCAAGGATGAGGCCACGACCCTCAAGCTTGTTCATCTATTCCATTATCTAGCTATGTTCGTTGAAGTCCATGAGATTTTTGCCATTAGTTTCAATAGAAGCAGGAAGAATGGGCCCATTTCTTTTAATATTCTCCTAAAATCTGTCTAGCTTAAATGGGTCCATTGCTCTTAATGCTTTCCTAAAATCTATCTAGCTTAAATACTTCTTACCTTTGTTTCAAACCAATTCTTGTTCTTCCATCTTCTGAAACTATATACACAGAAGGCAGGGTGGCACCTTGGAATCCATATACTTTTATAGGTTATGCCTCTGATTAGTCTCTAGGTATAGGCACACATTCACTTGCAATGGTTGCAAATCACTGGACTGTTGTGATGTACTGAAGTTAGTACACATTGAAGTTAATATGTTAGATAATCCTTGCCTGAAAGAGATCAAAGTTGCAATGCCCAATGGCACTTAACATGTATTAAGCTGTTTGAACATGCTTGCTCATGTTTTCGCTGTGCTTAGTAAGTATTAAGTTGAACGTGTGACACCATCCTTTAAATTGGCACCCTGCCCTGCCTTCTGTCTGACTTCTGACTAACATGGCTAATTCCCTCTCTCTCTATTGATGTATATTGCTTAACAGATAGCAATCATGCTCATCCTGAATTATCTCTTTCCTAGACAATATTTATCTATTTCAGTCTCTTTTAATACATTTCAGTCCTAGAATGTTACCTCATTATCTACTTTTGCCAGATTAGTAGTTCCTTCTGAAACTACAGGCAACTGAAATACATGCCACCGCATACAGAAGCACATCAAAGGAAAGCAATAATGTTTTTTAGCAACCACACTGGACAGTTGTATTGAATGTTGTTCTACTTCTTCCTTTAGGTCTTTCCAAGATGTGCTATTTTCTAGTATTGCTTTTGCTGTTTATTATATTACATGTATTGATACTGAACTGCAAACCTGCCTAGTGTAATCTTATTGGGAGTTGAGGAACTATATATGCCTAGGTAGGGACCTGGTTTGTGGAACGAAAATAATACTGCTACCACCCACCCAAAGAACAGGAGCTGGTTCAGACATGGAAGTGGAAGAACTGTTTCATGTGTGGGAGTAAATTGTGAAGGGAGTATAGGAACCAGTCTGGGCAAATGCTCTTACAGACAGGGGCCTTTCAAAGTGTTATTCCAGAAGCAGAGAAAAGGGAACCATAACTACCTTCTCGTTGGCACTTGAACTTTCTAGCACAGCAGTTTTAGGATTTTGTGTGTGAGGACTGTGATAGTATTTAAATCTAAAGTCAGAACAGTATATATTATTAAATCAGACACAGAGGAATGTGTATGAATGGGCAAATTAGGCATCTAATGTTACAACATGATATTAAAAGGCAAAAGTATAGTGGGCATTCAGTTCTGAAGATGTCCTCTGTAAAAAAGCAACATGACAGAGAAGCACTCTGTCCTCTGTTCAGCACAAATAAAAATGAACTAGAGGTTTCAGGAGTCTTCAGAAGAGTCCTGGATCCTCAAACTAGTGATTTACTGCAGGGGGCATCTTTTTTGGCTGCTTACAGATGTACTTTACTTTCAGCTTGGCACACCCCCACACTGAGTGCAATGAATGCGCAGAAGAGGCATCATGTTAGTTTGACCCAGCTTGCCCAGCATCTGTATAGATTGCACACTTCAGCAGGGCTTTTTGGTGCTTTTATTTAATAGCTGATTGAAACAGCTATTAGATAAAAGTGCCAAAAAGCCCTGCTGAAGCACCCAATCGATAGAGATGCTGGGGAGCCAGGTTGAACTAACATGCTTCCTCGTTCGGTAAAGTGCTGGGTTTTTTTTTCCACGTTTCAGTGCTCAGGCCACATGGTGTGTTTACTTCCTTTTTGTGCCATTGAATAGGGAATTGTTCAATATGTGTCAAATATCCCTTGTATCAAGCACTGCTGCTCAGGTTAGTCCCAAATTTACTTTGATCACAGATGAATTTGGCTTTCTCTCATTTCTCTTACTGAAAATCATTTATATCATAACTAAGAAATGTATAACCAATGTGATTGAAAGACTTACGTATGCTAAGGTAATGTGCTTCTCACAGCTTTTTAAATTTGGTCTTCCCTCGTCTCATTTTTGGGCCTTGTCACACATTAAGTTCCACATAGGACTTGGGCAGACTAAGTGGTCTGGTTTTTGATGTAATATAGCCAGCAGATCCCAGACTATGCCAGCCTTTCTTGACAGACTCCCACATCAGAGGAGGGAGCAGGGATACAGCTATAGCAGCTGTATGGTTCTGCTGTAGATACAGCAATAGTGTACGGTTCTGCTGGCATTTTGCAGCTGGGTGAAATGGAACAATTCCTTTTCTTCTACCAGCACAAAGCCAATTTTTATGGTTTCTGTGAAGAATCAGGATTTGACCTTTTGAAAATTTATTATTATTAGCACAGATAAACCATGTTGTATGTTTCAACATACTGCAAAGTATCAAACTGCTAACCTCATTAAACTTGGTCAAAATACATTCTGCATGGAAGGAAATTGCTACCTTTGTTTCTGAGTAATATTGATACTACTGAAATAGTATGTAGCCTTTAATAAATGCCACATAATTTGGTTTCAAGAAAGAGACTTTATCTTTTTATAGATTAACATGAACCAGGGTTCCTCTATAATAGGTTTTAAATGGCAAAAATATAATTACAAAGCCAGCAAATGGAAAAAATGTTTTTAACCTGTCTATGCTTGGGCACTTCACTGTTCATTTAGTATAATAGCAATGGCCTTGTCTTGGCAATTTCTTCAGGAGCTACAAGAGACTCAATAATTTCTCTCTACAACCTAGTAACTTGTGGCATTTCAATCTTACCCAGAAAAGAGTCAATAGCTGCCTGTCTGCCTGAGCCGTCCTGGGAATACAATTTATACACCTAAATTTTAGAGAGCTGCCTAGCTTCAGAAGATGTATTTATGAGCTCATTATTTTTATCCCTCAAGAAATAATCTGTCTCTGCCATCTTTTGTCTTTAGCAGCCCCCACTAATAACATTCCTGTTTTATCACCATGCTCACAATGGCATTGTTTAGTATTGTATGTCTACAGGCTTTTTTGATGGTGGAGTTTTCTGAAAATCCCAGGATAGCTTTACTATGTTGAAGAAGAAAGAATGTGATATTGGTCTGTTCTTTTTTCTTTTATACTCTTCCCACTTCAAGCTATCCAGTTGACTGAAAAAGCTGCTTGCTTGCTTGAACTGTGTTTCAAATACAATGACTCTAGTTCTCATTTGATTTTTACTGTTTTCACACCACCGCTGATGTCAATTAAGTTACTCCTGGGTTACAACAGTGTAATTCTAAGTAGAATCAAGACCATGCAGAAAGAAATAAGGCTTCCCATAAATACTAGGTTTAAGATCTACCGTTTTGACGATGGATTGATTATAAGTAGCTGGTCGTGGCCTCTCCACACAGTACTCAAAAACATTTTCAATACTATTAGCATATAATTCAGAGCCTAGAAAGGAAACATTGAGACACTTTGAAGAAGACAATATATCTTTCCCAGAAGAGTTAGGGTGAGAAAAACCAAGCTGTAGATCAGAGAAAACATGACAGTATCTCTCATCTAGGAAAAGATGAGTAGATACAAATAAAAGGTTATTCTGAGTTCAGGTACGATGAGGCAAAAAGTGTAATCTTTCACTCTGGAGAATGATTTATACTATGTGTCACAAGGTTGTATCCATAGGCACAGGAATTGTTTGGTTTAGTATGGCTATAGTTCTACAAATATCTGGGCTTATTTAACCGCCAAGTGGTAAATTATAGTCTTTCACCTTCTTGTACACTAGTTCTAAATTTTCAGTCTTCCTATGCCCATGAATCAGATAATTAAGGTTGGTAGTCAGAGGAGGCTAGGAAAAACATGTATAATACATTCTCTGGGGTGGGATTAAAAGCCCTGCTCTCCAATGTAATAACTGTTTCCATTGTACTACAAATAATTGCATATGTGGAGAGGGGAGCCTTAAAGGACCCTGGAGATATATCACACCTGTTCTGTGAATCTAAATAATATATAAACTATGAGAAGGCTGCAGAAGATAAGATTTTCTGTCCCTTGGTTTGCATGCTAGTATTACTTTTTATATAGATTCCCACTGATTTCAGTACTTGTTCCCTGCAAGACATGATTTCCAAATGATTGTGGGTCAAAAAATCCATGAAATCTATGAAATTGTGATTGTCCTTGGCTGACTGTATTCACTGGAAAAGGAAGAGAGCACAGGATGCTCTTTCTTCCATGAAGGAAGTAGCTATACTTTGGTATAAAAGACTTAACTGCTTACATTTAGTATGCAGACACTGAGCATTTCCATAAGAAATAGAATTGCTGCTTCCTCCTACAGTGGCATATCTGATTTGGGCACAGTGCTCCCAATCACCAGAAGTACAATTTATAGGGACTGAAGACAATATTTTTAAATGGTTTTGTAAGAGCCACAGCTCACTCCAACCTACTATTGAGGCCCTGGAGTCACTATACCTTATATGGCTTTATTTATATGAGAAATTATACTAGTATAAACTATTCTGGAATTAGAGCACCCATAATAGGAATTCTATTAGTATAACTGTACTATTTGTTTAGATGAACCCAATTAGAAACATTATACTTTCTGCCACATTGCTCAGACAGATGCATTTCTTCTCATTCTGTTCAGCTCTTCATTGCCTCAAAGAGCCATAATTTGGCTCATTACATAGTAGGATACATTCTCTGATGAGCTTGCTTAGCTCATAATGATATAAAGCTAATTTTAATAAATTTAGGATAT